TAGGGAAACTGCTGGCTCTGGGTAAGTGTCAATGTGGATCCCACTGGATACAACTGGTAAAGCAGTAGTCCCTATATACTGTTGGAATCGAGTGTTTCAGCTCTGTTAGTAAACAGCAGTCATAATATACAGCTCTCCATGACCTGGCATCTGAACTACTGAGTTCAAAGCTTGGTAGCACATGGTAAGAGGTCAATGGATTATTTAATATGGATCCCTTACATATTTTGGATCCTGGCATATTTCTGAAGCCAGTAATGTCTTTCTGGATCCAATAAACACTACATAAAAATATCCACCATACTAGAAATTCAGTTAATCTTCACTTCCACAAACTGCCCATCTTTGTATGGTATTCAATTTAAGCAACTGTGTATTTTGCCAATTAACATGAATTTGGCAGCAAATTCACTTTCAAATCGACACAAAATCTATCTATTATTTGGATGCTTCAGTAGACCCTGTTCGGTATTCCAAATTAGAAAGTTTACCAGATACGCATTCCCAAAAAGTGAAATCACCTTAGCAATATCATTAATGATTTCCTGGTATTTAGTCGCCGAAGACACTAATCCAGCCTGTTCTAATGTCCGAAGATTTCTCTGAATTTTCCTTTTCTTTTGCTCCAAAGGTAACTGTCCGTCCTCAAAAACAGACTGACTATGTTTCATTTTCTCTGGTGTTTTGGAATCCAAGATGGCACGTTGCTTCACAAGTTTTGAGTGCTCGGATTCCTGGAAAATATATTAAAAGAAACAATTTAACTTACGACAAACATGAAAATGTCCAGATGTTCCCTCTTCTGTAGAAAGAAAATAGATAGTTAATTAAATGGTCTATTTATAGTCTATTCACATTGACTATTTTAAAGGGAGTTCAGTTATTATTCTGCCTCTTGAAGGCATCTTAAAAGTCGGTCCCCATTAGTAAGTATTTTGGTGGACATATGGGAGTATGTTTGAATTGCGTTACCATTGCCTGCTCTAAATTGTATCGAAGCAAATAGATTCCCATTTGCTTCATCACTTTTAGAACAGGGCTTCCAGAACTTAAAGAACCTAACTTCCCTTGCTGTTCTTAAAGGTACAAATAAACCAAAGAGGGTTTGTTACGTTTCTGACAACACAAGATTTGCTGCTGCATAATTTGATAGTCTCCCAGATAAGCAGCAATGCCTACACAATTCCCATCATAGGAAAGGTGACATGCAGTTTCCTATGCAGCTGTTTGCTTATACAGCATAAGAAAATAAACTAAGTAGAAAGATGTTTGAGATTTCATGAGAAATGATGGTTTGCTTGATAGTATGAAAGCAACAAAAAAGATTCCGTTTAGAAGTCTGTGTTTAAAATTTCAAGAATAAAATTCTATCATTTTGATGTTACTTTTTGGTGTCCTCCTTTCATAGTAAGAGATCCACAGTATCAGTTACTGTTATTTAAGGGATATACATAAAAGGTCTTTTTAAAAACAGTCCCATTGTCCACACCTGAAGTTACTTAACTAGAGGCCTACCTACTTTAAGGATTTCATACCAACTTTTGTTTTTGTTACCAGTTATTTGCTTAAAAAGCAGTATTTCATTTCATGACTGTCTAGCTTGAAAACGTTTATTTGGCAATGGGTATCAAGGAAGTTTGTTACTTGTTTCAAATCCTGAGCCATGAGATGGATATCTTTCTTATTTATTAGCATACAGAATGACATTTACCTGCTGTCCAGATGCGGGTGTTTCTAGGATTTCTAAGAGTGTATCCCCAGGTTGGGCTCGTATCACATCAACTATAAGTCTCTTTGTCCTTTACAGATAAATAAAGGATGAATAGTTTAAGGCTGCTGCATTTTGTTTCTTAAAATAGTTTATTCAAAATTCACACATGCTTCATTTTAGTATTTTTCAAGGATATAATTTACCTTTCCTACTACTTCATGATTTCAGCGATGTTAGCAGTAGTAGGAAAATAACAATTTCAATATATAGACTTTTGTAGCCAAGCCAACTTGTATGTCTTGTGATGGTAATGGATGCCATAATAAGAATTCACATAGCTAGATGCATATGGATTATGCAGTTTAGGACTTTGACAAGATGACAGACATAGTTACACAGATCTTTCAAAGCCTGATAAATATACAATTTTAAGAGCCATCTGGATTTACAGAAACAAAGGAAACAAATTGCTGAATTTCAGAAAGAACATACAATTGATAAAGCATATTACCATGCTTATTAGCAAAGATGTATCCCAAGCAAAAGGAAACTGTTTTGGCCTGATATTTAAATAGTTTCCTTTTTGGTAACATTTATCTGAGTTCCTGCTGCCTATTCATTCTATACTTCTTCCCAGAACACTCTGTTAGGCAGCTCTGCAGCAGAGTACATTGTAACAAACTACCATCAACTCTTCCGGCAGCACAGTAAACAGATTAGTCTATTACATGTGAAATATACACCAGACTTCAAATGAATGCCACAAGCTGGGTTTTGGGGTTGTTTTTTAAGTGTTTGTTTGTTTGTTGTTTTTTTTTGGGGGGGGGGGGAATGCACACACAGAAGTACGAGAAGTAAAACTTCTGTGATAGGTGGCGATTTATTTTTGAGGACCTATGTAAAACATTTTAACTTCTAATTTAAAAATTAAGAAAAAAAAATCGATGTCACAATGTTTTGTCTAATGTAAATGGTCTTCTTTGTTTATAAGAGGTGTTTATCACAACTTCCTGCTTGGAACAAATTGTTTGAGTCAGAATCAAGTTTTCATGTGGAGAAAAAAAAAAAAGTGTTAAAAATGACTCCCAACATAGTAAAAATGATTAGTGTCACATTCTAACCCATAAGCAAACTAGGGATCTGTGAACCTGCTAGCAGTCTGTTCCCTCAACCTACAGCTTGTGCGCACTGCACGTGACTACTCAGACACATGGAGCAGTTTCTCAGGGATTTCTTCTGCTACTTGCTTTCCCTGGAATCTGCTCTGGAATATATTACCGTAAGCCAAAGACAAGTGCATTCTACCTATATTTTTTTCTGGATTAGTGCCTCTAAAGCAGGTCTTTACCAGTCTCTTCTGGTCTTCACTAGAAACACTTAGGAAGAACTTTCTTACTATGGGATCGAGGTGGGAGGTGGACAGAGAAAGGGGAAGGATTTAAGCACAGGAACAGAAAATCTAGAGGATGTGGAATTTCCATCCTTGTAAATTTAAGTACAGGTTAGACAACCATTTGTCTGGTATAGCTTGTACAAGAATGATTCTGCCTTAAGCCACAAGGTGGGATTTGAGCTACAAACTCTTGAGGTCTCTTTCAGCCTTATTTTTCCATAGGATTTTTCTATAAAACCTTTAAACTAGTCTTTAAACTACACTGCACTAATTCTCTAGGGGAGGAAGCTTGAACAACGTGCATCCAAATTTGGACATACAGAGTCCGTGACCAACTGGATGCTATATTTGTTTTTTTTTAGCACATACCTGTTTGTGAAAATCTCAGTATCTTGTAATGTTACTTTATATGTGCATATCAGAAAAACAAATGCCTGACAGGAATCGTAACAGGTACATAATCCCAAACAGCATTGAACGTTCTTGGAAATATTAATTGCTCAAGTATGCACATAATCACAAAACTTACCAAACAATATAACCCAAATATTTCATTAAGTACTAAACAATAGATGGAGTAGCTTGAAAACCACATAACTAAATACTACAAGTAAAGATGTATATACTTTTAGGATAGAAAAGTAGGGCTGAAAGTGCCCTCTAGGGGTGACCTAGTCCAACCCCCTAACTGAGACAGGATCATCCCTATCCAAATCATCCCCCCAAAAGTTGCATATAAATACCTTAACTCAGTTGCTATTTATAATTGATTTGACAGAAATAAATAATCATATTTTTAAAAGGGCGACAGAACACAACACCCTTACAGAAATGGTGGGAACTATACAGATGCCCAGGCTGAGCTATAATTTTAATTATAATTTAATACTCCTCCATCCCAATTAGGTATTTATAGAAATAATATAGTAAGGCAATAACATCAACAACAACAAAAAACTCCTAAAATTGAAACAACCAAGAGTCACATAGTCAACTTTACTAATCATTCATAAATCTTTTCATGTCCCCCCTCCTCTCCTTTGCCTCAATAGGCTTTGCCTCAGGCAAAGATCATTCCTCCCCTACCTGCCTGCAAGGTGCCCGGCATAAACCAATGCCACATGAACAGTGAAATGTGCAGAGTTGTTCCTACACTTATTCAGTAGATTCTGTATTGGAAATTAAGGGTAGATGCAGAAGAAGCTCTATGAAAAATGGCATGATACCAAGTTATCAAAAATGCTCAAATGTTTTGGAGTAAGAAATATTTTAGATCAACATTCAAAACTCCCATGCTAGTGGGAAAACAACAACAAACCAAACACCTGCTTATCTTTTTCAGATAAAATCTTCAACCATTTTCTGGAGTATAAAAATCAACAGTTTCTTTGGACTTCCACAAAACCATTATCCCTACCTGTTGAATCAGGAGGTAGATTTTGCAAACAAACCTATGGTAAAGGTTATAGAATTGGGGCTTGTATTGTAAAACATTGCAGCTAATAACATTCTTCAAAGTTCAAAGCTTTACACAGTTACCACTTAGAACTAATCCACTTTTTAGATTCAGTGGATACTTAGGACTACAAAACTATCCACAGCTCCAACTCCTGCAGCAACATGTTAACAGAATGACAGATCTAATTAGAACCAAAACACTTCAGAATATCAGTTCAGATGCTTAGTACCCTCCTCCTGTAAGACCTGTTCTCAACACTGTTTAATTCAAGTTACCTCTATGCATTTAGTTTAAACTTGAATTACTCTACTCCAGTAAAACAGAAATAAAGTTAACAAAAATAATTTTATATAATGTACTTCCTAAAAGGTTTTACTCCTATTTCTTAAATCAATTATTTGAAGAGGTATGAAATCTCTCTTTTCACTACATAAGTCACCTATCTGAGAACTGAAGCACAGCATCTGTACAAACATTTGGTAGCAGCAAAACCAGACAAAAATGTTTTCAAGTGTTTCCAACTGAGTGGGAGTACAGTACAAACTGACCCTGTCTCACCATCTTAAAGTCTTGATAGCAACTTGTCTTGAATGTCCAAGGAGATAAAAATTCTAAAGTGGAATCCTTCCATAATTTCAGGAAAAACTGTTTCTTTTTAGGATAGTGAATATTTCACAATGGGCAAAGCTGAAAGAGCCAGTAAATTCAGAACACCAAGAATCTTGGAAGTTATCCCTTATGATATTCTTTTTTTTTTAAAGTGGGAGACGAGATACTGACTGGACAAGTTGGTAAAACTACTTGCATATCCAGAGCTGCAGTCCAAATTTGGCCCAGGTCTTTAATACTAAAGTAGTGGTTTTCAACCTGGGGTCCACAGACTATGTTTAAGGGGTCCGTGAAAGATGACTATGATCAAAAGTATGTCAATACCCACACTTACAACTGAAAGGGGTCCACACCTCCACTTGAAATTTTAAGAGGTCCATGAATGAAAAAAGTTGAAAACCACTGGTTTAAAGTAGTGGTTTTCAACTTTTTCTTGTTGTTTGGTTTTTTTGTTTTTAAAGTGGGCCAAATCCTAAAATCAGAAATGGGCTGGGGCTCCATAAGAAAGCATTATAGTACTATACTTGGGCATACCCTAATATTTGAAGTAGTTGAAATAATATTAGAAAGGAGAACTTGTCAAAGGGCCTGCTGTGCATGGCAGAAGACGTACTGAAATTGTCTGGACTGGGCTGGACTGAGGTCAAGTGGTAAGGTGCTCGGCTTGGTGTCTTAGCAGCAGGA